AATTTTTTGTATTTTTAGTAGAGACGGGGTTTCACCATGTTGACCAGGATGGTCTCGATCTCTCCATTCTTTTTTTTTTTTAAACGAAGTTTCTCTCTTGCTACCCAAGCTGGACTACAATGGCATGATCTCAGCTCACTGCAACCTCTGCCTCCTGGGTTCAAGTGATTCTCCTGCTTCAGCCTCCCGAGTAGCTGGGATTACAGGCATACACCACCACGCCCAGCAAATGTTTTATATGTTTAGTAGAAACAGGGTTTCACCATATTAGCCAGGTTGGTCTTGAACTCCTGACCTCAGGTGATCCACCTGTCTTGGCCTCCCAAAGTGCTAGGATTACAGGAGTGAGCTACCTATGCCCGGCCTAATGCTCCATTCTTGACAATACAGGCTTTTTCTAGCCTGTTCTTCCAAATTCTTCCAACCTATTCCCATCACCCAGTTCCAAAGCCACTTCCACATTTTCAGGAATCTGTTGCAGTAAAAAACTCTACTTCTTGCACTAATTTTCTTTGTCCATTTTCTGTTGCTATGATAAAATATCAAACTGAGTGATTTATAAAGAAAATAAATTTATTTAGCTCACAGTTCTGGAGGCTGGGAAGTCCAAAAGCATGGTGCCACCATCTGGTGAGGCCCTTCTTGCTGCATCATAACATGGAGAAGTCATCACACGGTGAGAGGGCAAGAGCATGCTGGTTCAGATTTCTCTTTCTCTTCTTATAAGCCACCAGTCCCATCATGCCTCACCCTATGACCTTATCTAACCCTAATTACCTCCCAAAGGCCTTTCCTCCAAATACCATCAACATATGAATTGAAGGATTAAGTTTCCAGCACATGAAATTTGGGGGATACATTCAAACCATCACATATATAATGTATAAAAATAGACAAAACTAAAGGCTGGGCGCGGTGGCTCAAGCCTGTAATCCCAGCACTTTGGGAGGCTGAGGTGGGCGGATCACAAGGTCAAGAGATCGAGACCATCCTGGTCAACATGGTGAATCCCCGTCTCTACTAAAAAAAAAAAAATTATCTGGGAATGGTGGCTCGTGCCTGTAATCCTAGCTACTCAGGAGGCTGAGGCAGGAGAATTGCCTGAACCCAGGAGGCGGAGGTTGTGGTGAGCCGAGATCTCACCATTGCACTCCAGCCTGGGTAACAAGAGTGAAACTCCGTCTCGAAAAAAAAAAAAAAAATAGACAAAACTGACTGATACTGTTAGAAGTCAGGTTAGTGGTTACCCTGGAATGAAACATAAAGAGATTCTGGGTGTTGGTTATATGGGGGTATCAGAAGATTCGTCAAGTGGTACTTTTATGATATTTGCACTTTTCTGGATATAGGTTATACTACAGAAGTTGAGTTATTTTTTTAAGTAGTAAGTGGCAGAATAGAGGATAAACCCAAACCTGCTGACTGCCACCCCACAACTCATTCTATATGATGCTGTCTGGAAAAAGAAATGAATGAAGCAGAAATCCATCACCATGATAACAGTCTCTCTGCATGGGGTCTCCCTGGCCGGACCCTCAGCTCAACACATGTCCTCACAGCAGCCCTGTGAGGGAGCTATTAGTGTCCCTCTTTCACAGAGGGCAAGTTCATGGTAGGGAAGTGAAATTCCAATGCTTTGTGGCTTGGAATGGGTGTCTCTTGGGATTCAAACTAGGCAGGCCTATCCACAGAGCTCGGCCAGATGCTTCCCAGATTTCAGCATTTGAGGGCAACATTCATGAATTTAGCCATATTGGCATTCCAGAGATGCTATTTAAAATTTGTTTTTCTCAAATAGACTTATTTTTACATTTAAATAAATGACTTTAAAAGAAAACTGTGTTACTACCTTAAAATAGAAGGGAAATGGGAGGTAGCTGTAAAAAGAGATACAATGAAAACAAAATGTTGCTAAAATCTCTCCCAGATACAGCAGCCTGAGGTTTTCTCTGCTATTGCTCAAAAGAGTGGTTAACAAGAGCTAGAAGGGTGCAGAGATTCTCAGCCCAAGTGGAGACTTTCTTTTCTCCCTGATGTAATCAAAAGATTGAGAACTGAAAAAGAATATCTGCACCACATGATTCAATGCCATTTCAGTGTGCCTTCCCATCACTTAAAAATTCCACAATTTGTGAGAAATGCTCTATCCCGGCTCTCATCACAGCCTCCTGCCTCAATCACATAGGCTCATCTGAATGGGAAATTGGGAAATACTGTTTGTGGAATTAATGAAAAGTCAATTGACTTGCCCAATGCCGCCAAGCAGTAGCTAATCCACAATTCCCATTAAGTGTTCTGACTATGAGCTTAGTCCTCTCTCCATCCTTTTATTACACAGAGATGCCCTTATACTGAAGCAGCATCAGTAATCATAAAGAAAGGGGCTATGTTCTCTTGCTATACCTTCACAGCAACCCTGTGAGATTGGTTTTATTTCCCATTTTACAGATAAAAAACTGAGATTTGGAGAGTTTGAGTACCGTGACTCAGGCTGCATGACTGGCCTCACGACTGGTGAAGCTCATGCCTTCTACTTTCAGCAGACCAAAGGCTTCCAGAAAAGAGATCATCACTGTCACTGTGCCCTTCCCTTTGCCTGGGTCCTGCAAAGGCAAGAGGATAACTGCTTGTTGGTACTCAACTCACTCACCCTGATGGGAGCTGGTTTTCAGAGATGGGCTGGAGCCAGTTTCCATAGGCTCAGTGGACTGACTGTTTTCATCTCTTCCCAAATCCATGTGCAGTGGTGTCACCTCGATAGCTTGAACTCAGCCACGTGGGAAGCATTTGTACCATAGAAATTGCAAATGCTACTAATCAAGGCTTTAGTTTCTTGGGGAGCCAGTTGTTAAATTAATCCTTTACCAGCCAACCACTGATTGGCTTTTTCTTTTTTTACCGTTAAGTCAGTGGTTCTAAAACTTGAGCTTGCATGAGAATCACCTGTGGGGCTTGTTAAACCATGGACTGCTAGGTCCCACCCCCAGATTTCTAACCGGGTAGGTCTGGGGTGGGGCGGTAGGTAGGGCTTGCGTTTCTTTTTTTTTTTTTTTTTTTTTTTTTTTTTGAGACGGAGTTTCGCTCTTGTTACCCAGGCTGGAGTGCAATGGCACGATCTCGGCTCACCGCAACCTCCGCCTCCCGGGCTCAGGCAATTCTCCTGCCTCAGCCTCCTGAGTAGCTGGAATTACAGGCACGCGTCACCATGCCCAGCTAATTTTTTGTATTTTTAGTAGAGATGGGGTTTCACCATGTTGACCAGGATGGTCTCGATCTCTCGACCTCGTGATCCACCCGCCTCGGCCTCCCAAAGTGCTGGGATTACAGGCTTGAGCCACCGCGCCCGGCCGGGCTTGCGTTTCTAACAAGTTTCCAGCTGACGCAGGTGCCATGGAGAACCAATGCTTCCAGAGAACCACGGAATCACAGAATCGGGGATCTAGGCAGCCCACAAGCAGAAGTTAGCCCACAGTGTTACTAACAACCTTGAATTTTCTGCCAGCACTTGGGAGAGTACGCATAAAACTCCAGATCTCGAGCTTCTCTTGAGAAGTCATTGGATCTGGCAACGCTGAGCCTGGGTCCCCGCACTGTGATGGTGGCTGGGAGCTGAAGAACTCCTTTCCTTCACTGGCTTTTTCTTCCTAACCTCCTGCCTGTTCTCTACAAGCATCTAAATGGGACCTTGCTAGGTCAAGTCCTCATCTTACAGAAGGGAACACTCAGGCTCAGAGAGAGGAAACGCTCTGCTTAGAATTGCAGAGTTACTAAGACAGTGGCAAACACATCCACTGGAACCTATTACAGAGGCACCTTGCTTCACACAGGTCATCCCCACCCTAACCCCAAACAGAATCCTCCTCATCCCAAGCAAGGATGTCTCACCCACTGATATGTGATCCCTATAATCTGGGGCCACGGTTGTCTCCGTATAAGGCATCCAAGAACTGGAAGGAACCCTACGATTTCTCTGAGATGCCTCCAAATACGTCAGCTCCTCATCACCTGCTTCAGCCATTTTTACAGCCAGTTTCCAGTCGAGTGACCTTGGCGGATAACTTCTCCTACATATCATTTCTTAGAGTCTGAGAATACCTCAGTAGGTAGTTGTGAGACTTCAAGGACATAATGCATATCATGGTTTTTAGCATAATGCCCAATACTTATAAAGCAGCCAATAAACAGTAGTAAATATTATCAGTGAATATGATTATCATGCTATCAGTTCATCTCTAGAAGTCTATCCCTATATCATGCCCAATTCACTTTTTCATTTTATATAAGCCATGTCCAGAAAACATTCACGCAACATCTGGGAGGTAATAGCCAGGGCTCTGGTGTGTTAAACTAACCATTGCTGTCCACTGTCTAGGGGCCATAGGACCTACTTCTGGTCTGGAGGCCCACATTCCCACCTTCTCACCTTACAGTGAGACCTCAGCCAAGGCTCAGCCCTCTCTGGGCCTGAGGGATGGGTGGTCCTTAGCATTTTCTTATTAAATCTGCATTAGCTTATTAAATCCAGTAGCATCCCAACAGCCCTGTGAGGGGAGATATTATCATTATCTCCATTTACAATGGGGAGACTGAGACTAACAAAGGTTAAGAAGCATGCCCAGCTAGTGCGTGGTGGGAGCAGGTTCAAGACCAGTCTGACTCCACGGTAAAGTTCTGCATCGTGACCTGAACCACAGATTCAATTGCCTTGGGCCTATTTGACTAGCTCTGTCTGTCTTTACGGGGTCTCAGATTTCATCTTTGTCCTCTACCTAAGCTGCCCTATTTGGAAAGAAGAGGTAACCTGGAGAGGTGATAAGTCCATCCAATGTAGGGGCTGGGCAGAATTTCTGAATAAATCAGCCAACAAATATTTGCTGAAGCCTACTGAGCACCCGGCCCTGAGTGCACACGCCCCAGCTAAGGGCTCTGCGCACATTTCTTCCTGAGTTGGAGCGGGATGTTAAGGGGATGGGGATAAGCCCAGTGACCCACGCATTGGCCCAGACAGCCTGACGCATCATCAGCACGATGTAGGTGATCTCTCCAAGCAGACCCGGCAAGCCGAAGGTGTAGTGCACGCCGCAGCTGTCGTGAATCCCCAGCACTCGGTTAAAACACACCTGTGGACAAATGCTATCATAAACAGATTGGCAGGCGAGACCCATATTCCCTGCCCATCCCGTTCACACACCCTGGTCATCCAGGGCCACAAAGGCGGATGGGCAGTAAGGCTCACCTAAAGAAGCACTTCTCAGACTTGAATGTGCACTCACATCATCGGGGAGTTTGTTGAAATGAAGACTTGGCTTTAGTGGATGTGGGGCGCGATCTAAGACTGAGCATTTCTAACAAGGTCCCAGGTGATGCCAATACTGCTGGTCCACGGATCACACTTTGAGTAGCAAGGGTCTAGTGTAGGCACTATTCACAGTTTTGGCTGATAATTCTTTGCGGTGGGGGCTGCCCTGTGTGCTGCAGGATGTTTAGCAACATCCCTGGTCTCCACCCACTAGCTGCAGGCAGCAGCCCCCACCCCACTGTGTAAACCAAGAATACCTCCAGACATTGTTGGATGTCCCCTGGGGGGTAACTGAGACGCACTGGTCTACCCCATATTTAAGCACCATCCCAAAGACAAGACGGCTAGTTAGAAACAAAGCATGGGGCCCCAACTCTGGATCCCCCTCAGCCTTCTGCTCCGTCACTCAGCCTCCCACACAGCCATGAGCCAGCATATGTGGACACAAATGCAAATTCAATCAGGCTGGTTCCTTCCTTAGGATCTCCATTACTCTTCAGAATAAAAATCCAGAGGCCGGGCGCGGTGGCTCAAGCCTGTAATCCCAGCACTTTGGGAGGCCGAGGCGGGTGGATCACGAGGTCGAGAGATCGAGACCATCTGGTCAACACGGTGAAACCCTGTCTCTACTAAAAATACAAAACACTAGCTGGGCGTGGTGGCGCATGCCTGTAATCCCAGCTACTCAGGAGGCTGAGGCAGGAGAATTGCCTGAGCCCAGGAGGCGGAGGTTGCGGTGAGCCGAGATCGCGCCATTGCACTCCAGCCTGGGTAACAAGAGCGAAACTCCGTCTCAAAAAAAAAAAAAAAAAAAAAAAAAAATCCAGGGCAGGCACGGTGGCTCACACCTGTAATCCCAGCACTTTGGGAGGCTGAAGTGGGCAAATCATCTGAGGTCAGGAGTTCGAGACCAGCCTGGCCAACATGGTGAAATCTTGTCTCTACTAAAAACAAAAAATTAGCCGGGCGAGGTGGCAGGTGCCTCTAATCCCAGCTACTAGAAAGTCTGAGGCAGGAGAATCACTTAAACCCAGGGAGTGAGGTTGCAGTGAGCCGAGATTGCACCACTGCACTCCAGCCTAGGTGACAGAGGAAGACTCAGTCTCAAAAAAAAAAAAAAAAAAAAAAAAAGAATAAAAATCCAGACTCCTCCTCAACTAGCCCAGGAAGTGTGCCCGAGCACTTCCCATCTCCCATCTCTCAGGGCTCTGGGCCCACCATGCTCCTGGGTGGACCCTATGCCTTTAGAATGTCTTTCTGTTTCCTGGTGGGGTCATAGACTCTTCTTACCAATAAGCTTTTGTACACACTGTTCCTTCTGTCTGGAATACATTTCCCATGACTTTGCCTGGCTAATACTCCGTATCTGTCAACGCTTGGCTGTCAACTGTTTCCTCTGCTCTGGGAAGCATTTCCAGATCCATCCCAGGCTAGCTTAGATGTGCCCCTATAGCAGTTCTCAGACCGTATTGTGTTTATTTATCCATTTCCCTTACTAAACTACAGCTTGAAAAGCAGGATGAGTGTTAGAACGTATGTATTGAATGAATGAATGAATATATGAATGAATTAGAGAATCATTTTTGAGTAGTCCTGCCAGTGATGAAGTCAAGAAAACAGGCTCAGAGAACATGATTGGCACAAGCCTGATGATAACTTGTTATGTGTTATTATTTTATTTTATTTATTTATTTATTTTGAGACGAAGTCTGGCTCTGTTGCCCAGGCTGGAGTGCAGTGGCGAGGTTTCAGCTCATTGCAACCTCTATCTCCCAGGTTCAAGTGATTCTTGCATCTCAGCCTACCAATTAGCTTGGATTATAGCCACATGCCACCATACCCGGCTAATGTTTGTATTTTAAGTAGAGACAGTTTCACCATGCTGGCCAGGCTGGTCTTGAACTTCTGACCTCAAGTGATTCACCCGCCTCAGCCTCCCGAAGTGTTGGGATTATAGGCGTCAGCCACCACGCCCAGCCAGTTTTTCCTAATTTTAGATTGAAATGGACTCCCTGAATAGCCACTGTTCATCCAAATCCAGCCTTTAAAAGTCTACTCCTTTTTCCTCTATTAAGTCTTCAAACCCATGAAGATTTGTTGTTCCTAAATATTTCTCTTAGAGAAGTGCATGATAACCAATTGGCTATAATGAAGTATTCTGGAAGGATCAGGATTTGCTGAGTATTAAAAAAAGAAAGATCCAGCCGGACGCGGTGGCTCAAGCCTGTAATCCCAGCACTTTGGGAGGCCGAGGCGGGTGGATCACGAGGTCAAGAGATCGAGACCATCCTGGTCAACATGGTGAAACCCCATCTCTACTAAAAATACAAAAAATTAGCTGGGCATGGTGGCACGTGCCTGTAATCCCAGCTACTCAGGAGGCTGAGGCAGGAGAATTGCCTGAACCCAGGAGGCGGAGGTTGCGGTGAGCCGAGATCGCGCCATTGCACTCCAGCCTGGGTAACAAGAGCGAAACTCCGTCTCGAAAAAAAAAAAAAGAAAGAAAGAAAGATCCGTCCACTTAGAAGAAGACTTAAACAGTCAGAAGTAGACACGACCTGGATCATCAGCCCAGCACTCCCTCTTCTGGGCGCTCCTCTCACATCATCCATGTGGTTCCCTGACAGCAGCCACAGGTGCATGCCGAGCCCCACCCCAGCAGAAGATGACATTATCCAGGTTGAACCAAAGAGCCCCTTCTCCAGAGAATTTGAGATTGGGGCCAAGACAGTCCACCAGGTTGCTTTCTTGAAGCGAAAGACTACATCCCACCACGTGGAGTAGAAGAGGAGGAAGCAGGTCTATAGAGTAAGAATAAAGCAGATATTCAGGAAAAGCAAAGAAAGAAGCAAAACAGGGGCTTCTGGGCTCCCCACAACACTCCAGTGCCTGTCCTTGAGTTCTGTGACACCCCAGTGGCCTTATAACAAATTCTGCCCGATGCCCAAGCACGTTCAAATGGGTTCTGTCACCTGCTCCCCAGCATCCTAACAAATGCAACACCCAGCTGGGGTGGATCACTCACAAGGCATTGAAGCCAACATGGGAATGCGTCAACACTTCCCTAATGCGGCTGTGCACTGCACAGTGGTCCATCAGGTCCCAGCATCCTGCTGGCCTTCAGTCAAAGCAGAGGGGATTAGTTGTCCAGTTTCTTACCGGCAGGCACTTGGCTCCCCCGATGGAGATCAGCCCAGCCACAAGACCCAGCACCATGGCAAGCCAAGGAGAAGAGATCAGGTGACACGAGGCACCCACAGCCACACCTCCTGCCAGCACCGCATTGTGCAGGTAAGTCTGCAAAGAAATAGCTTGTGGGTAAAGGAAGCGAGGCAGAGAGAGAACACCATCTTGCTGCAAGTGACCAGCACCCTGGGAACAAGGCAACCCTGTAACATCCTCCCTGCTTTGATGATCCTGAAACCACCCCTTCCCTGTGTTGGGGCTACATGCCCTTCATCAGTGGACATGATGGGTCAGCTCACCACTGCCCCTCACGCTCAGGGTGCTGTCACTTTGATTGTGCAGCATATAGGGAATGAGCTGGAAAGTCCAGGTGCTCGCCATCCTAGCCACCCATCACACTCACGAGTGATGTGTCTCTGAGCACTTGGAAGAATGGGTTTTTGTTTCATTTTATTTTGTAGAGACAGGGTCTTGCTATGTTGCCTGGGGTGGTCTTGAACTCCTGGCCTCAACCAATCTTCCTGTCTTGGCCTCCCAAAATACTGGAATTACAGGTGTGAGTCACTGTGCCTGGCCTAGAAGAATGGGGTTTTGGATGTACCTTCTTCATAAGGTTATTGTAAGGATTGAGAGTTTCCACACATAAAGCTGTTAGCCCAGTGTCTGGCATAGAACATGATTAAACGCACAGAAGACACAAATTATTGTTATTGTTTTTATTATTATCATTGGCTACTTGGTGCCTATGCCACCCTGTATGACTGGGGCCAGTTCCAATAAGCTGGGCTTTGGTCCGGGGTCATAGCTCTTCTATATCCTTCACTGCTGCGGAACTAGAATCTTGCCCTGCTCTTATCTGACACCCCCAGCTCTCATGTGGGATAAGCCTCTGGGCTTCCCTGTGAACACCCAGCACTCTTCCTAGAGCCTCACTGCAGATGCAGACTCGGCTCCACCACCTGGCCTGCCCTCTCCCAACCCCTCTTGGCCCTGGGGGGGAAGGGCATAAATATGTGTGTTAGACCCTGTTAGACCCAAGTGCTGACACCCACTCCTGCCTCATTCAGTGTCTTAGACTTGCTGTCACCATGGAGCTCATAGTCACTCACTTCCTCATGGCACTGAATTCTGCTGTGAAGCTGTCATCTGTGGCCACATTCTTTCCACTCCAGCCCCTCCCACTCCAGCCCCACCACGAGTCTGTCCAGACTTCCTTCCACCACCACCAGCTGGACCCCACGCCCCCATCATCACAAGAACGTGTTTCGTCTCCCCTCTCACCCGTCTCTTTCCACAAGACTCACACACTGTCCTCTCACTCTATTAACAGCAGCAGCTAATGTTTGCCTAGCACTTACTCCCTGCTAAGCACTTCACATGCACCATCTCTTAATCCCTACTTCACAGATGAGGCCTTTGAGGTTCAAAATGTTGAAGTGGCTTGACCAGGGCTACATGGCTAGGGTCACATACTTCTCTACTTCTAATTCTAGTGGCTCCTCTCTTGAAATTTCTTGTGGGGAGGAGAGGCTGGCTAATTCTAGTCTAGTCTGCTGCTGACTCTTGCTCATGGTGATTGGCTTTAGCAACTAGCAGAAACGGGGTTCAAACTCGGGTCTGTTTCATGTTAGCACGGATGGATTTAATCTCTCCCCGCAGAGAGCCTTTGATCACTGGACAGTCTCCTGAGTCCCAGGCCTACTGTGACCACCCAGCATTCTTCCTAGAGCTCCACTGCAGATGCAGACACGGCTCCACCACCTGGCATGTCCTTGCCCAACCCCTGCTGGCCCTGGGGTGGGGGGGCATAAATATGTGTGTTAATCCTGTTAGACCCAAGTGCTGTCGAAGGGCAGCACCCTTCTCACCATGTTGATCTTCCCTCGGGGATGAGCCAAGGATGACAGTGAGATGCTTGTCACTGCGCTGACCGCTAGAGCATAGTAGGTGTTGAACACAGCATCCCTCCTTTCAAGTGGATTTCTCAGCAGAGCAGAGTTGAAACTTGGCCAGAACATCCATAAGAAGAGGGTTCCTGGGGGCCAGAGAGGGTGGTTGACCAAAACCACACTCCTGCTCCAGAGGCCTGAGCCTTGAGGGGTTTTGGATGAGAATCCTAGGGCTGGAGAGTCTCAACCTTGTCACTTAGAGCTAGATGGGCAAGTCACATTCTCCTTTCTGAGTTCTCAAGCTGACATATTTTACAGACAAGGAAACAAAGGCCAAGAGGGTGGAAATCTGCATACCCCAGGCCTCTTCAACCTGGTCTGTGATGGTCAAATCTTATTTTTATTTTTATTTATTTATTTTTTTTAATTGAGATGGAGTCCTGCTCTGTCGCCCAGATTGGAGTGCAGTGGCGCGATCTCAGCTCACTGCAACCTCTGCCACCTGGGTTCAAGAGGTTCTCCTGCCTCAGCCTCCAGAGTAGCTGGGATTACAGGTATGCGCCACCATATCCAACTAATTTCTTTGAATTTTTAGTAGAGACAGGGTTTCACCATGCTGGCCAGGCTGGTCTTGAACTCCTGACTTCAGGTGATCCACCTGCCTCAGCCTCCCAAAGTGCTGGGATTACAGGCGTGAGCTACCATGCCTGGCCCAAATGTTTATTAAAAAAAAAAAAAAAAAAAAGCCAGGTGCGGTGGCTCACGCCTATAATCCCAGCACTTTGGGAGGCCGAAGCTGGTAGATCACGAGGTTAAGAGATTGAGACCATCCTGGTCAACATGGTGAAACCCCGTCTCTACTAAAAACACAAAAATTATCTGGGCATGGTGGCGCGTGCCTGTAATCCCAGCTACTTGGGAGGCTGAAGCAGGAGAATTGCTTGAACCCAGGAGGCGGAGGTTGCGGTGAGCCGAGATCGCGCCATTGCACTCCAGCCTGGGTAACAAGAGCGAAACTCCGTCTCAAAAAAAAAAAAAAAAAAAAAAAAAATGTGCTGCTTTAACTTGGCCTTGTGGCCTGACAGTCCTTTGCCTACTATCAGGCTCCCTGCCCGATTTCCTCCAAGCCTCTCCCTGCAGTCCAAGTTCATCATTTTCACAGTAAATTTTCAAAGTACAGCATTATTACTATTCCCGCCCTTGCTCCTTCACTCCTGGGCCCTACTTTCTTCACTTGTCCAATTCCCTCCTTTCAGCTGAAAACAAAGGGATTGGATAAACTTATTTAAACTCACACGTAATGAGTCTCTCCTCTCTAGTGGATTTTAATGAAGAGAGGTCCCTAAAAGGAAATGCTTAATTCAGAGGTATGAATTTAACCAACACTACTTGAAGAAATGAATCACAATGGAAGGGCCTCAGACACCCAGGGGAAGCTGGTAAAGGAGAGAAATTTTTCAGCCAGAGCCTTTTCTGAGACATTCTGCTCAGCCCAAGTATGAGAACACTCATTCCACCTTGTCCTTACCCAGCATGGCAGACAAACTGGGGCTTGTTGCTGTCCGTTCTTTTTCCTCCGTTCCTTCGGGAAGAGGCTTTGGCAGACACCAGGCCACAGTCAGCCCAAAATAGGCTGCGAACACGTGGATGCACATCATGTTCGTGTGGTCCTCTGTCTGCAATAAAACCCAGCAGGAGCAAATGAGTGTCAGCATCCTCTTCCCACAGGCAAGCCGCGACAGTCCTTGGAGAAAGTTCAGAGCTTCACTTAAGGGGTGTGACTTGAAGTCATGAGACTGTGGTTCAGACCTTACCCAGCCCAACTCAGCAGGCTTTTCTCCTTCAGAGGAGCCCTATGAGTTGCCATGTATTTATTCCAGGGATATCGCTAGCTGGCCTTTATCAGTAGCTCTTTATTTTTTCTTTTCTTTTTCTGAGACGGAATTTCGCTCCGTTGCCCAGGCTGGAGTGCAGTGGCGCAATCTCAGCTCACTGCAACCTCCTCCTCCTAGGTTCATGTGATTCTCCTGCCTCAGCCTCCAAGTAGCTGGGATTACAGGTGCACGCCACCATGACAGGCTATTTTTGTATTTTTAGTAGAGATAAGGTTTCACCATGTTGGCTAGGATGGTCTCAAACTCCTGACCTCAGGTCATCCACCCACCTTGGTCTCCTAAAGTGTTGGGATTATAGGCATGAGCCATGGCACTTGGACTTTTTTTTTTTTTTTTTTTTTTTTTGAGACAGAGCCTCACTCCATTGCCCAGGCTGGAATGCAGTGGTGTAGTCACAGCTCACTGCAGCCTCCAACTCCCAGGCTCAAGAGATCCTCCCACCTCAGCCTCCTGAGTAGCTGGGACTACAGGCATACACAACCATGCCTGGCCAATTTTTTTTTTTTTTTTTTGAGATGGAGTTTCGCTCTTGTTACCCAGGCTGGAGTGCAATGGCGCCATCTCAGCTCACCGCAACTTCCGCCTCCCAGGTTCAGGCAATTCTCCTGCCTCAGCCTCCTGAGTAGCTGGGATTACAGGCACGCGCCTCCATGCCCAGCTAATGTTTTGTATTTTTAGTAGAGACGGGGTTTCTCCATGTTGACTAGGATGGTCTCGATCTCTTGACCTCATGATCCACCCGCCTCGGCCTCCCAAAGTGCTGGGATTACAGGCTTGAGCCACCGCGCCCGGCCTGCCTGGCCAATTTTTAAATTTTGTGTGAAGATGGACTCTCCATACGTTGCCCAGGCAGGTCTTGAACTCCTGGGCTCAAGAGAACCGTCTCTCCCAAAGTGGTGGGATTTCAGGCATGAGCCACCACACCCTGCCTATCAGTAGCTCTTATATGCTTTTGACCAAGGTTCACTTAGGTGTGGCAAAAACCCACATGGACAGGTATCTTGCTGATTCCTCCTTCTCAGTGGAATTTTAACTCTGCAGGAAGTGATGAGTGATACACATTTTGCAACATAAAGTGGCCAGATTTCTTATAATACCAAACTAAAGTCTTTAGTAAATTCTAGATATGTTCTAATTTTGCATCGTGACTATCACATTTTAGTAATCCTTAATAACTTACTTAGTGGCCTACCGGTGAAGGCTGTCAGCTGTGCTTTCTAAAATTACCCACAACTGGCAGAATTTTTACCACCATTCCCCACTCACTGCATCTTGGCTTAACCTACCATCACCACGACCTCAAATTGTTACAATAACCTCCTAACTGGTCTCCCTGTTTCCACCCTTGTCTCCCCACAGACTGTTCTCCACACAGCAGGCAGAGTGACCCTGTTAAAATGCAAGTCAGGCAGGGTGCGGTGGTTCATGCCTGTAATCCCAGCACTTTGGGAGGCTGAGGTGGGCAGATCACCTGAGGTCAGGAGTTCGAGACCAGTCTTTGTTTCTACTAAAAATATAAAAATTAGCCAGCTGTGGTGGTATGCACTTGTAATCCCATCTACCCGGGAGACTGAGGCAGGAGAATTGCTGGAACCTGGGAGGCGGAGGCTGCAGGGGGCCAAGATCACACCACTGCACTCCAGCCTGGGCAAAAGAGTGAGACTCCATGTTAAATAAATAAATGAAATAAAATGCAAGTCAGATCATGTCACTGCTCTGCTCAGACGCCTCCAGCGGCTCCCGTCTCACTCAGAATCAAGGTCCGTGTCCTTGACATGACCCTGCGGGATCCCCTCTGGCCCATCCTCTCTGACGCCACCTCCTCTTCCACTCTCCACTTGCTCTTCTCTTGTTCTCAAACCCACTAGCGTGTTCCTCCTTGGGGTCATTCAGCTGCCTGAAATGCTGACCCCCAGCCAGGGTATAACGAGGGCAGGGTGGAGGGAATAGTCCATCCTGGGTCCACGCAATCAGGGATGCCTTGTCTGGAGAGGATAGCTAACAAGTCTAAAGCCAACTATAAAGTCTGTCTGCTTTTTATTTATTTTTGCTTATTTATTTATTTATTTTTGAGATGGAGTCTGCTCTGTCACCCCAGTTGGAGTGCAGTGGCGCGATCTCGGCTCCCTGCAACCTCCGCCTCGTGGGTTCAAGCAATTCTCCTGCCTCAGCCTCCTAAGTAGATGGGATTATAGGTGCCCGCCACCATGCCCGGCTAATTTTTATATTTTTTAGTACAGACGGGGTTTCACCATGTTCCCCAGGCTAGTCTCTAACTCCTGACCTCAAGTAATCTGTCCACTTCGTCCTCCTAAGTGCTAGGATTACAGGCGTGAGCCGCCACACCCAGCCTATTTTTTATCATCACCATGTGCTGACAATTCTAAACAGCATGAGTGATTAAACGGCCCTCCCAGCACCCTGCCATTGGTCTGCTGCTGTTCTCAGATACTGATGAGGCTGTGCACTCGCTACTTTCAGGTCTGTACTCAACAATCACCCCCTTGATGAGATGAAGCTGCCCCTGGCCACCCTCTCTATCAGTCGTCCCCTCTCCCCAACTTTTCCTGTTTCCTTTCTCCATTTTATTTTTTCTCTGTGGTACTTACCACTCTCTAAAATGCTATATCTTTTGCCTATTTTATTGCTTATTGGCAGTCTTTCCTTCTGGAATAGACCTTCCATGAGAGTTGTATTTTTCCACTGCCACAAGAGTTCCTGGTACATCGTAAGTATCAAGTAAATATTTGTGAAGTGAACAAATGATGGTAAAAAGCCCTCAGTCACACAAAAAGAGGACAGTCTAGGCAATTCCCTGATAAGTACTGAAAAGAGGGCTTATGTTTTTCATCTCTTTGAGCTCCACCAGGAAGGAGTTCAGGGACAACACTTGGGGACTGTTGGCTTGGCGTATTCATTTCTTGAGCTGCCTGCACTGAAATGACTCTGGTCCTTGGCTCGGGTTCCCCCAAGCCCTCCTACTGAAGAAACCCAGGCTGAATGGCAGTCTTGAGGAAAAGGAACACTCAAAATCAGTGCTAAGCCCTCCTCTAGACCAGCTAAACTAACAAGTCAAAGCTGCAGAGAAGAGGGGAGGTGATGTTATATCAACGCAGTCTTTTAACAAAGCAGGAAGAGGTTCGGACTCACAGGGAGTGTTCTGCCTCTGAAATTTACCCCTTTTCTTGACAGCCATGTTTTTACTGTGTGAACCATCTCCCGTGCCATCTGGTTGCGCCAGAGTGGAAAGATGACCCAGGGGACTGATTAGATTCTCTCTCCCTGGACTACAGAATTGAGACTAACTGAGAAAAGAGTTGTTTTCTGCAGGATCTGGGACATAGAAATGCAGGAACAAGTGGAGGTGGGTGGGTGGGTGGAGGGGACACGTTTTTCGCTAAAGAGAAAGCTGGTGTACAGAGACATTAGATGTACAGAGAGAAACGGAGCTAAAAGATGGAGGGCATGGACTACCTGGGCTCTTAGCAGCTTCTCACAGCCAGTTCCAGTGCCCTCCTGAGTCTGGCAGCACCTCCTGCCCTTGGAGATTCTTCTTTCTTACGTTGGTTTTTAAAAAATTTCCACACTACACAGATGTACCTTGGTGGTTCTTATACTGAATTCTCTTCATTCTGCCTAAGAAAGCTCTGGACAGTTTCTTCCTGGGAATCAGGGCATTGTCATTAATCCTTATACAAAGCAGAGAGAAAAAGCAGAAAACAGAAGTGTTCAAATTGGAATCCAGGAGCCCACTGTGATATAAATAAATATATAGATGAGTGAATGAACAGAGAAGTGAAAGCTTTTCCTTACAGAAGAATATCAACTTCTGAAGGGAAGATGGAATTAGAAAACTAATATTGGCAATTATTATAGTACTAATTTATTCAGGGAAGAATCAATGAACACTAAAATCAGTGAGTGAAAGTTGGATGATAAACAGGATTTCTATAGGAAATTATCTCCTCACAAGATGTTTATTGATTACAAAGGGGAAAATAGGAACTTTGCAGTGGAAGATCCTGGCAGGTACCATCTTAACCCGATGATCACAGTCAACACACCTAGTAATGGCACAAATTGACAGCATGTCTTCTGATACAATAAATAAAGAAGGGCGCACGTGACTCTTGTGGAATTCCTGCCAAAAATGCATACCCACTATCTAATCATGAGTAAAAGCAGACAAACCCACATTCTACAAAATAACTGGCTCAAATCTTCAAAACATGTCAAGGTCATGAAGAAACTGTTCCAGATTGATGGAGTTTAATAAAACATGAGAACTAAATGCAAGATGTAATCCTGGACTACTATACACACACACACACACACACACACACACACACACACACACACACACATTCTAGAAAGAATATTATTGAGACAATTGGTGAAATTTGAATAAGATAATCATAATGTATCAATGTAAACTTCTCATTTTTCTTAACTGAACAATGGCTATGTAAGAGAATGTCACCGTTTTTAGGAAATTGTATTAGTTTGCTTTCACACTGCTATAAAGATACTTCCTGAGACTGGCTAATTTATAAACAAAAGAGGCTTAATTGACTCACAGTTGCGCATGGCTGGAGAAGCCTCAGGAAACTTACAATCATGGTGGAAGGTGAAGGGGAAGCAAGGCACTTCTTACACAGTGACAGGTGAGAGAGAGAGAGAGAGAGAGGGAGGAAGTGCACTTTCTTTTCTTTTTTTTCTTTCTTTTTTTTTTTTTTGAGACGGAGTTTTGCTTTTGTTACGCAGGCTGGAGTGCAATGGCGCGATCTCGGCTCACCGCAACCTCCGCCTCCTGGGTTCAGGCAATTCTCCTGCCTCAGCCTCCTGAGTAGCTGGGATTACAGGCATGCGCCACCATGCCCAGCTAATTTTTTGTATTTTTAGTAGAGACAGGGTTTCACCATGTTGACCAGGATGGTCTCGATCTCTCGACCTCGTGATCCACCCGCCTCGGCCTCCCAAAGTGCTGGGATTACAGGCTTGAGCCACCAGGCCAGGCCAGAAGTGCACTTTCAAACCATCAGCTCTCCTGAAAATCCACCATCACAAGAACAGCATGGGGGAAACCACTCCCATGATCCAATCACCTCCCACAAGGTCCCACCCTCAACATGTGGAAATTACAATTCAAGATGAGATTTGGGTGAGGATACAGAGCCAAACCATATCAGAAATATACACTGAGGCCAAATAGTGGCTCATGCCTGTAATCCTAGCACTTTGGGAGGCCAAGGTAGGTGGTTCACCTGAGGTCAGGAGCTTGAGACCAGCCTGGCCAATATGGTGAAACCCTGTCTCTACTGATAATGCAAAAATTAGCTAGGCGTGGCAGGTACATGTCTGTAATCCCAGGTACTTGGGAGGCTGAGACACAAGAATTGCTGGAATCCAGGAGGCAGAGGTTGCAGGGAGCGGAGATCCATCACTGTACTCCAGCCTGGGTGATGGAGCAAGACTCTGTCTCAAAAAAAAAAGGAAAAAGAAATATATATTGAAGGATTTAGGGGTTAAAGTCACATACATGGATGAAGAAAACCACAAATTAATAAACACAAACATCCAGGCTGGGTGTGGTGGCTCACGCCTGTAATCCCAGCATTCTGGGAGGCCAAGGTGGGTGGATCATCTGAGGTCAGGTGTTCAAGACCAGCCTGGACAACATGGTGAAGCCCCATCTCTATTAAAAATACAAAACTTAGCTGGGTGTGGTGTTGCGCACCTGTAATCCCAGCTACTCGGGAAGCTGAGGCAGAAGAATCACTTGAACCCAGGAGGCAGAGGTTGCAGTGAGCTGAGATAGCACCATTGCACTCCAGTCTGGGTGACAAGAGCAAAACTCTGTCTCAAAAAAAACTTCCCATATTCCCTCCCCGATCATTGTTCTTTTTTCTTCCCCAAACATCCCCAGCTCCCTTGAAGAAGATGCCATCACACTCTCCCTTCCTGGCTGCAGGCTCAGCCTCCTGGCTGCCTCTTGGTCGCTTGATGTCAGCTCCTGCCCTTCAGCCTTTCTCTCCATCACTCTTCCCAGACATGATCTTAGCCCACCCAGCACCTTCCCCTCTCGGTTCCTTGACCGCTCATCTATCTTTCCCGGCATTACACTTCTGCCACCCACTGTCAAGCCTTAGATCTTGTCATTACCGGTAACCGTGTTGCCTCCAGAGCCTCAGTTTCAAGCATCGCACCTGATAACCACCACCACCTCCTATCTGTCTGACTCACTCCTTTAATCGCCTCCTTTCGACAATTCCAACCAACGGAGCCTGAGAACAATGGGGATGGTGAAAGTAACAGCACTGCCACGACATTTACCCCATGCTAGGCACCATTCTTAAGTGCCTTAGATACATTCATATGCTCAAGTCTCGCAACAGTCCTAGGAAGTAGCATTATTCTTATCCCCATTCTACAGATAGGAAAACTGAGGCACAGAGAGTTCAACTAAGGGGCCCATATGGACTCAGTTAGCGTGGGTTGAGCTGAGATTTGTACCCAGGCTGCCTGGCTGGGCTCCCCAATGTCACTCTCACTCCTTTTTTAACCAGCTCAGTTTTATTAATAGTGGGCCACCATTATACTTCCTCCTTTGCAAACAGCCCCATCTCTGGTCTCCCTTGGGTTTTAGGCTCACTTTAGGCGGGACCCCAGGCTGGGCATGTTCAACTCTGCTTCTTCCACACCTGTCTGGAGCAGCAGCACACAGCCCTGGTCACTGACGCACTTTCCACTGACTACAAGCCCTAGGAGCCCTGGTGTCAGCCTGCAGTCCCGCTGCACCCCTCTGGTCCTCTCACTCTCTTCCACTCGCACAGATGACAATACCACACCTTGTCTCTCCAGTAGCCCCATCTCTCCTTTCCACCCTCACATGAGGCTGATGATGGTGCCTCTTGTTTCTCTGAGAAAATACAACTAGTTAGTAAGGGATTTTCTCCCTGCAGGAGACTGAACCTGTGGTACCCAGCACCAAATCTGCTGGCCTATCCACAGTCCCTGCCATTTCTCTTGTTAAGATGAATTGTCCCTGCATCAGCCTAAAGCCGTCAGTGCTCCAAATCCCACTCCCGCTTTCCAACTCAAAGGCTTGACTCTTGCAATTCACGTCTCTTCTGTATCATCAGATTTTCCCCCTCTCCACCTGATTATTCTTACTGGCATATAAATATCACCCACCTGAAGTAAACAAACCAAATCTCCCTTGAGATTCTGCCCTCCTGCTTCTCCATTTCTGGTCCCCTTTATAGCAAAGTCCTTGGCAGGGCTGCCCCTGGATGCTGTCTCCACTTTCTCATCTCCTGCTCTTGAACCAGTCAAGTCAGGCTTTTGCCTTCATCTTCCTCTAAAACCCTGCGTGTCAAGGTCCCCTTGCCGAAGCCAATGGCCACCTCCTAGTCCCCACCCTACTTGACCTCTCAGCAGACTTCAGCCTACCTCAGGCCCTCTCTTTCCTTGCCGGATTCCAGGACCTCACCCTCTCCTGGGCTTCCTCCTGCCTCTCCAAGCACAGTTCTGTCTCCTTTGCTGGCTCTTCCACGTGTCCCCCCTCTAAAACGCGGGGTGTTCTAGGATCCAGTCCTCAGACTTCTTCACATCTCTCTCTCTCTCTTTTGAGACGGAGTTTCGCTCTTGTTACCCAGGCTGGAGTGCAGTGGCGCGATCTCGGCTCACCGCAACCTCCGCCTCCCGGGTTCAGGTAATTCTCCTGCCTCAGCCTCCTGAGTAGCTGGGATTACAGGCACGTGCCACCATGCCCAGCTAATTTTTTGCACTTTTAGTAGAGACGGGGTTTCACCATGTTGACCAGGATGGTCTCGATCTCTCGACCTCGTGATCCACCCGCCTCGGCCTCCCAAAGTGCTGGGATTATAGGCTTGAGCCACCGCGCCCGGCTCTCTCACTTTTTTTTTTAAAGGAATATAAAACTATTAACCACTGTTCACCAGTATTTACAATAAAGTAAACAATGTACAGTTGGATAACATTCTGATTACTACAAAGTTGTTTTTCCTGGCTTTTGTTGAACCAGTAAAGCAAGTAACTGAAAGACTGAGCCTACATGTAAGGACTGAGTTGGAGTAAAGAAAAAACATGCAGGTCAACAGGTTAGATTTCAAAAGGTTGTTCATACATTTATGTCAGCAGGTCATAAACTGCCAACATCTCTATCTGATTAGGTTTCTATGAACCAAGTCTTAAGATGTTCCATGAATCATGACCTTTTAGTCAATGTAGCAACAGGGATTTCAACAGTTTGTTAAGGAATGGCCTTCTAGCAGATTTTTCAATGTTCATTTAACTTAGTTTTATTTCGCTAACGAAAACACACTAGCACTTGTCCAGTTTCCTCATATGGATGGGGAAACCTCCTGTAATGGTAGTGATAAGTTTTCCTTTTAGGAATTTTGCCAACAAAAAACTGCATTTATATAGATGCTTTAAAATTATCCAATTTAAACTGTCCTATTAACTAAAATCACTTATTTCTTCACATACTTGAAATGTATGGCTTCAGGAAAAATTTTAATTTAACTTGAAGCAATTAGCTCTTATTTTGCTCAGAACAATGGCATCTCAGAAACATGGGTTTACTTGTGACTTTTTGGTGAATATTTAAAAAAAATTTTACATATGCATTTTATGTATACACACACACACACAAACATAAAAAACCCAGAATGGTCCTTAGGCTTATGAGAACACAGGTTTTGATTTAGTAATGACTATGGACGTTTCCCCTAACATTTAGAAAAGCTGTTCTTTAATGCAGAGAAAATAATATACCATGGTATCAAATGTTCTTTTCTGATCAAGGAAGCAATTACAGAAAGCTTTTATTGATTGGTTCAAAGTAACCAGTGCTATAGATGCAAAAAAACCCCCAACAACTCTTCCAACACTACTTTCTTTTCTTTTCTTTTTTTTTTTTTTTTGAGACAGAGTTTCGCTCTTGCTACCCAGGCTGGAGTGCAATGGTGCGATCTCGGCTCACCGCAACCTCTGCCTCCTGGGTTCAGGCAATTCTCCTGCCTCAACCTCCCGAGTAGCTGGGATTACAGGCACGCGCCACCATGCCCAGCTAATTTTTTGTATTTTTAGTAGACACGGGGTTTCGCCACGTTGACCAGGATGGTTTCGATCTCTTGACCTCATGATCCACCCGCCTCAGCCTCCCAAAGTGCTGGGATTACAGGCTTGAGCCACCGCGCCCGGCCTCCAACACTACTTTCAAAACGAACATATCAAACTTGATTTTCATTGGATGTAGTTATTTCATCACACTAGTAAATCAAAAACAAGACCCAAATTTTATATATATATATATATATATATAATATATACATATATATATAATATATATATATATAAATATATATATAAAAAAGTGAACAATTATTGAGCTTCATCTTCTGGACAAGAATGCCAAGTTAGTCTTTCTTCATAAAAAGCAATTACAATTTGAGGACACTTCATATTTGCCTCTTTCTCCAGCACCAAGTCTGCCTCATCTGAATCTTTCCATTTCATGAGAAGCATCAACTCTCCACTGCTGTCTGTGGCACCGATTATTCTTTCAGGATCAAGACCTCTGGCGAATCCTCTTGGTTTGTCAGCAGCATCTCTTTTCTTCTTTGATTTGCTGTCATCAGATTCACTGTCAGATAATGATTTTCTTTTTGTACCATCTTTTTCTTTGCCAGCTTTTTGAGAATTAAGAAATGCTTCAATCAACTCTGGACACTCTAAATTTTCTTCAGGTTCCCAAGTATTGTCAGCATCTGTAAATCCCTTCCACTTCAGGAAATACTCCACTTTCCCATTTACTACACGTCGATCTAGTACTTTTTCCACCACAAATTCTTCAGGCTCTGCCTCTTCAACTTTTTTACTCTTTCCATTCTGTTTCTTTCCCATTTTTTGCAATGTAGTTTTATTGGAGGCCATTTTTTATTGCAGACTTGAAGAGCTATTATTCACCGCCTCCGAGCTGCTCCGGGTTGCGGGTCTGCGGCGTCTTCGGCCCTGCGCGCCTGCAGCTCTAGCTCTCACATCTCTCTTTATCCTCACTCCTGAGCGATCTCCTTGGGTCTCATGGCTTTAAATATCATCTATATTCTAACAACTCCCAAATTTCAAGACTTGTACATTTCCATTCAGTGTCTCCACTGGGATGTTTCATACACATCTCTAGCCCCCCACCTTAACCCTAATGCTACCACATTCGACACTGAACTCTGGGTTTTCCCTCCCAGATCTATCCCACTCCAATGTTCCCCATCTCAGTAAATGGCTCCAGCAGCTGCTCAGTTGTGCCAGATGAGAATCTTGAAGTCATCTTACCCTCTCCCAACCCATGTGCAGTCCATCAGCAAATCTTGTCAATTCTGCTATTAAAATACAGTCAGGATCCAACCACTTCCCACCACTCTCACAGCTCCTGTCCTAGTCTGAATCTGGATTACGGCAATAGCTGCTGCTCTGGTCTCCACCTGCTTCCTCCCTTGCCCCTTCAGTCTCTTCTGAACCCGGAAGCCAGAGTGATTATCTCAAAACATAAGTCAGATCATAGCTTTCCCCTGCCCAACACTCCCTAGTGCTCCCTGTATTTCTCAGAGTAAAATCTAAAGTCCTATGGGACACTGAGTCGCAGTAAAGGGGCTTCATGCCTTTTTTTGTAAACATGCATCATCATATGTGATTAATTCAATTACTCCCTCAAACCCTATGTGGTAGTACTGTAACCTACAGATGAAGAAACTGGAGCTCTAAAGGTTAAATTGCCCATAGTCACACAGGGATTTATGGCAGAGCTGAGATGCAAACCCCAGCCTTTGACTCCAAGTCCAGTGCTCTTTCTTCTCAGCCAGACTGGAACTCTGGGTTCTCGCTTGGGTTCTGCCACTATCTTGCTATGTGATCTTGGGCAGTCCCTTCCCCTCTCCAGGCATCAGCCTTCTCACCTGTGAGATGGGAAGGTTGGCTATGTCATCACTCAGGGGCAGGGTTACAGCAGAGGAGCTGGGAGAGCAATTTGATTGGCCACCTTCACAGCCGCCTTCAGACTTAGACTTCTGATAGTCTCTCCCAATGAGATTACATGTGCAGTTACCGACACACACTGACTGTTTGAAAGAAGACGTTGCTGGCTGTACAAACTTGCTGGAACCACTGCTGATGAGGCTCTGAAAATTAATTCTTTTTATACAACCATAGTTATGAAAGTTATGAATGGTACAATCCTACAGGATTATACTGTGGTAGTTAAAGGCACTGGTTTGTTGTGTTTAAACATTTGTATAGACCATACTTTTGTAACCCCATTTAGACATCTAGCTATCTGCCTATTTATTTAGAGATGAGGTCTTGTTATATTGCCCAGGTTGGTCTCCAACTCCTGGGCTCAAGCAGTCTTTCCAACTCACACCTCAGCCTCCTGAGTAGCTGGCTCTACAGGTGTGTGCCACCACACCTGGATAATTAGAAAACAAATCTTTTTTAGAGATGAAGGTCTTATGATGCCCAGGCTGGTCTCAAACTCCTGGCCTCAAGTAGATCCTCCCTCTTCAGCCTCCCAAGTAGCTGAGATCACAAGTCTTCTTTTTTAAAAGCCTGGAAACCCCACAAAATGGGCTTTTAGCCCCTCTTCTCCCGGGTCCCTCCTCCCAGCACCATGACTCACACTGAAGACGTTTCTGCTGACCATCCTCATGGTGACAAAGGCTGTCAGCTCCACCAGCACCATCACCACCAACTGCACCAAGTTGACCTTCCCCAGGACAGCACCAGCTGAGATCAGCACCGACATAGCACTCATGGTGGCCAGCCGAATACTGGGGGAGAGAGGGAGAGCCAGGATGACTGAGAAGGAAGGATGCCTCTCCTTTATTTATTCATCCATTCACTCATTCACTCATTCATTCATTCATTCATTCAACAAACACTATTGGGCACCTACTTTCTGTGGGAGTAGAAGACAAGATTTCTACCCACCTGGACGCTGATGCTGCAGACTGGAGTGACCATCTCTTCCCCCATCAAGGTGACCTCTGCACCCCGAGTCCTGTGGTCTGGCGTATGACTTAACCACTCTGTGACTCAACTCCTTCACCTATAGGGCATTGATCTACACACACTCATCCAGCTGAGGATGATCAGGGTGACTGTTCCCTCAGGGCCCGCTTTGGGGATCTGATAACTGGGATTCTGCCCAGTCTTCTTTTCGGCTGTCATCACTCAGATGCTCAACAGAGGGCACTCTTTCCCCGCGGGCCTGCCCGCATCCAGTCACCCCATCTTCACCGGGGCCACTGTCCTTTCTCTCCCTCTCCGCGGTAGTGGAAAGAAACTGCTTTTGGAAGTAGGACAAGCCTGGCTTCAAGTCCCTGCCTTGCCACTGGAGCAGCTATTTCATCTCACTGAGCCTGTTTCTCCTTCTGCAAATTAAGAATGATGATCAAATGAATTCCATGTTGGTGCCCTGGAGGTTCGAAGGAGTATTCTTCCTATCAGCGTGTCTAGCACCAAGACTGGCACAAAGAACCAACTCCTGAAAAGAAGCTAGCCTTATCAACACTATTACAATTCCTTCCTTCCCTCAACCAATGAGCATGCTCAGGAGGAGAAAATGATTGTCTTCAAGGTACTTATGACAAAATATATATATATATATAGGTACTTATGATCCAGACAGGTGACACCATGAGCCTGTCAACTAAGAATATGATATCAAAAGTCTAGAGGGGTTCACTGGAAGGAGAGGGTGATGCTGACTGGATTCATCAGGGAGGACTTCCCGGAGGAAGTGGTACTGAGCTGGACAATCCGTGGACATCCAGTTTCCCCCGAGCACCTTGCTCTGAGACTCCCTCCTCCCTCTGGGAGTTGATGATGAGGCTACAGCCACAGCGACAGTGGTGTTAATGATTTATTATAAGAGCATTTTGTAAAACAGGCTTGTAACAGCGTCACCTCTTTTAAATTTTAACCCTGTAAGTCCAGGCGCAGTGGCTCATGCCTGTACTCCCAGCACTTTGGGAGGCCGAGGCAGGCAGATCTCCTGAGGCCAGGGTTTCAAGACCGGCCTGGCCAACAGGGTGAGACCCTGTCTCTACTAAAAATACATAAATTACCCAGGTGGAGTGGCGCATGCTTGTAATCCCAGCCACTCTTGAAGTTGAGGCACGAGACTCACTTGAAGCCAGGAGGCAAAGGTTACAGTAAGCTGAGACTGTGCCACTGCACTCCAGCCTGGGCGACAGAGTGAGACTCCATCTCAAAAAACAAAAATTAAAAAAATAAATTTAACCCTCTGAGCAACCCTCTGTAAAATGGTGTTAGGTTACCATTCAGTATCACCATTTTACAGAAAGTCACGTATACAATTAAAATGGACTTTTTGGAAACAGTCAAGCCAGCTGATCACAAGTGTGAGGTTCAAACCCAGTGGGCCTGGATCCAAAGCCTGTGTGCTCCGAAATCTGGACTCAGCTTCCCCAGTGTTTGCTGCAGACTATGTCTGCTTAAGCCTCAAGAACTTTAGGGGGAGGTCGGAAAGGGGCAAAGGGCACGGGGAAGGAGTCTCACAGGGACCAGGAATGTAGAATAAGGGATTACTCAATATTCCGTCACGCCTGGACAGAATATACCTTTAAAGAGGGTGTTCATTTCATTGACAAAGGCTTAGTTCAGCAGCATGTGTGCAAGGGTCGTATTTCATTCCTCAAGGGCCAGTTTTTGCTGGGGAGGTGCTAAGATAGTGATGTGCAGTGGTTGGAAGCATGGTCTCAGGTCTAAGCTGTCTGGGCTAGAATCTTGACTCAGTCACTTTCTGGCTGTGTGATTTTGGGCAACTTACTTAATCACTCTGTGACCTAGTGCCTCCATTTTTAAGGTGGACCCAATGCCTCTGGAGCCGTGGGAAGGGCAAAGTGAGTTGATATATGTCAAGTGCAATAAGGTAGTTGGTTATTTCTATTATCTTCTAGGGAGAGTCCTCATGGAGCTTTCAAAAATTAAAATTAAAAAAACAAATTTAGCCGGGCGCGGTGGCTTAAGCCTGTAATCCCAGCACTTTGGGAGGCCGAGGCGAGTGGATCATGAGGTCAAGAGATCGAGACCATCCTGGTCAACATGGTGAAACCCCGTCTCTACTAAAAATATAAAACATTAGCTGGGCATGGTGGCGCATGCCTGCAATCTCAGCTACTCAGGAGGCTGAGGCGGGAGAATTGCCTGAACCCAGGAGGCGGAGGTTGCGGTGAGCCGAGATGGCGCCATTGCACTCCAGCCTGGGTAACAAGAGTGAAAGTCCGTCTCAAAAAAAAAAGAAAAAAAAGAAACCAATTTAACCCTCTGAGCAACCCTCTTTAAAATAGTGCTAGGTTACCATTCAGCATTAAAAATATCATACTTTTAAGGCCAGGAATGGTGGCTCACATCTGTAATCTCAGCACTTTGGGAGGCTGAGGTGGGATGATTGCTTAAGGCCTGGAGTTCAAGACCAGCCTGGGCAACAAAGTGAGACCCCGCATCTCTACAAAAATTAAAAAAAAAAAAAAAAAAAAAAAAGCTAGGCGTGGTGGTATATGCCTTTAGTCCCAACTACTCAGGAGGCTATAATCCCAGTACTTTTGGAAGCCGAGGTGGGCAGATTGCTTGAGCCCCGGAGTTTGAGACGAGCCTGAGCAACACAGTGAGATCCTGTCTCTGCAGAAATAGGAACATTAGCTAAGCATGGTGGCGTGCACCCATAGTCCCAGCTACTTGGGAGGCTGAGGCAGGAGGATCAACTGAATCCAGTGAGGTTGAGGCTGAGTGAGCCGTGATTGTGCCACTTCACTCCAGCCTGGGCAACAGAGTGAGACACTGTCTCAAAAACTGTTTTAGGTGGGCGCAGTGGCTCACACCTGTAATCCCAGTACTTTGGGAGGCCTAGGCAGGTAGATCAGCTGAGGTCAGGAGTTCAAGACCAACCTGACCAACATGGTGAAACCTCGTCTCTACTAAAAATACAATAATTAGTTGGGCCTGGTGGTGGGTACCTGTAAAAAACTGTAACTCGGGAGGCTGAGGCGGGAGGATCACTTGAGCCCAGGAGGCAGAGGCTGCAGTGAGCTATGATTGCACCACTGCTCTCCAGACTGGGCAACAGAGCAAGAGCCTGTCTCTAAAAAAATAAAGAAAGAAAATTTAAAAACATCCCACTTTTAGGGTTCCATTTATTTTCATTTTTGCTCCAATAGCCATTTGCTAAGTTACTAGTATGAGAGGAAAACAAAGAACAATGTTGAATAAGATAGGGCCCTCCCCTGAAGGGCCTTAAAACAGAACCAAATTAGTGCCAAGTCAAGTGGCACAGGCTGGAGTGTGGCCAAGGGAGAGTACCCTGTCCCCAGGGGCAGGCCTGGTCACCACCTGTCAGCACAGCCCTGACCGGAACTGGGCAGGAAGGAGCCCGTTTCAGTGGGGGTCACCGCTAGGGGGACTGAAGCAGTCAGGGGTGGGGCAGGGGTGTTGACTCAGGCTGCAAGTGAATTTTCTCCCTTCTCGTCTTCCTGGATTGAGTCAAGAATAAACCGGTCCCTGTGGATGTCGGAAGACGGCAGCAGCCCTAGATGCCTCCTGCTCTATTCTGCTGTAGCGCAGAAGGCTGAAGGCTGGTGTGACCCTAAGCTAAGGCAGTGACACCAAACCAGGGCCACTACTGTCAGAATTCCCCCGGGGTTACCCTTTGTCACTTCCCAGGTGGATGCAGTCTGTGTGTGTGTGTGTGTGTGTGTGTGTGTGTGTGTGTGTGTGTGTGTTGAATTCCCATGGGAATTAACTCTAAAACTGTTTTGTTGTTTTGCTTCTTTTTGAGACAGCCTAGCTATGTCGCCCAGGCTACAGTGCAATGGTGTAATCTCGGCTCACTACAACCCCTCCTCCCCGGTTCAAATGATTCTCCTGCCTCAGCCTTCTGAGTAGCTGGGATTATAGGCATCTGACATCATGCCCAACCAATTTTTGTATTTTTAGTAGACAGGGTTTCACCATGTTGGTCAGGTTGGTCTTGAACTCCTGACCTCAGGTGACCTAGCTGCCTATGCCTCCCAAGGTACTGGGATTACAGATGTGAGCCACTGCACTCGACCTAAAGCAGTTTTTGAGACAGTGTCTCACTCTGTTGCCCAGGCTGGAGTGAAGTGGCACAATCATGGCTCACTCAGCCTCACCTCACTGGGTTTAGGTGATCCTCCTGCCTCAGCCTCCCAAGTAGCTGGGACTATGGGTGCACACCACCATGCCTAGCTTAATGTTTCTATTTTCTGCAGAGACAGGATCTCACTGTGTTGTTCAGGCTGGTCTCAAACTCCTGGGATCAAGTGATCTGCCCACCTCGGCTTCCAAAAGTACTGGGATTACAGGTGTGAGCCACCATGCCCAGCCTCTTAACCTTTTAAAAAAGAAAAATATATAGAGTTTTTCACCCAGGGCCAATCAGGAGGTGGCTAGACTGTGTTTCATGTTCTGACCACTCCGGGGTATGTGGGAAGGGTTATAGTTAAAAGTTGGAGCCATATCCACCATTTAGCTGTGTGGCCCTAAGCAAGTGCCTTGCCCTCTCTGAGCTTTCACCTCCTTACTTGTGTACCAGATTGGATCCCTACCTGGAAGAGTTAAAACAAAATAATATTTGTGGAGTGCTCAGCACAGTTCCTGGCTCATAGAGACATGTTTAACAGCAGTGCCAAGAGGTTTAGCAGGGTCTTAGAGGGGGAGGCTGGAATGGCCTTGAGAGGTCTTGAGAGGTCCCCAAGATGCCTAGGATGACATTTACCATCATCTCGACAGCACAGAGATTCGGAGATGGACAAAACAAAACAATGCTTAAGAAAAAAATTTAGCCTAGTTCCTCCTATTAAGTGCTAATGCCTTTTAAAAACGTATATAGATTGATGTGTAATCATCACCTAGGTGAACATAGAGAACATTTTCTCCACCCCATGAGGTGATTTTGTTTCTTTCCTGATCAATATCCACCTCCTGCAGGTAACCACTATTCTGACTTCTAGCACCATACATTAGTTTTGATGGTTCTTAGCGTTTCACATAATGCATCTAAACAAAGCACAGGTAATTTAATGAAAGTAAAGGCATGGCTATTTCTTGTCTAGCAGCATTAAAGGACTGAGAGTCCTTTCTTTTCTTTTCTTTTTCTGTTTGTAGAAAGTGATTTATTTAGAGAGAGAGAAACAGGAGAAGGGGAAAGAAAGAGCTAACTCTCACACTGAGTGAGAGAATCCAGAAAGGTGGAATCCAGGAAGGGAAAGCAGCTTCCACACTGAATGGAAGGGAATAGAGAGAGACGGAGTTTAGGAGGGGAAGACAGGCTCCCAAGAGAGAGTGTGGAAGGGGACTCCAGAGGGGACATCCAGGAGAGAGAAAAACAGTTTCCATGAAGAGAGTGTTAGTGGAAGGAGACCCAAACATGGAGTCCCGAGTCCTTTCTTTTCAAGAGACTATGTGTGGCATATCAATTTCTCTTTGTCTAATGTGTTTCTTCCTTATTTTTTCCATAAACTTATATTGATTAAGTAACTTTACAAAGTCGTAATTGGCAGTAACAGAAAAGAAAGGATGCAGGGAAGAATGCAGACCTGGACTCCTTGTGACACACAGAGTAGGGCTGTCCAGTAAAATGCAGGATGCTCAGTTCAATTTGAATTTTAGATAAACAATGAATAATGTTTTGGCATAAGGATGTCCTAAATATTGCATGGCATTGGTGCTAGACAGAGAGGGGGGAATATCCCAGATCTTCTGTAACCTGTCCTTTCGGGCTCCATTCCCTCTATGACCCAGAAGTGATCCAGCCACCAACCCCATACCTGGACAGTTTGATGACCAACTTTCCAGGAGGGAACTGGCTCAGGAAGCCATCCAGCAGGATTGCCCACTGCACACCAAGGGCCAGTATGAAGAGGTTGAAGGCCACGCTGCTCCAGCTGTGTCTTCGCAAAGATGAGGTGAGGAAGCCCAAGCCAAGGGCCGCCATCACGGTCAGATCTTGGCAGACTGCTCAGTGGGGAGATGGCGAGAAGGAAGATGGGGAAGCAGACAAGATTTAGGGTGGTATGAAATTAGAGTCTTAAAAAATGGCAGCTGGGGCCGAGTGCAGTGGCTCACGCCTATAATCCTAGCAATTTGGGAGGCTGAGGTGGGTGGATGACCTGAGGTCAGGAGTTCAAGTCCAGCCTGGCCATCATGGTGAAACCCCATCTTTAAAAAAAAAAAAGAAAAAAAAAAGGCAGCTGGAAGGGACAGTTGAGATGATTTACGAGTGCTTGGTCAAGTTATTTGGCCTCTTTGAGCCTCAATGTTCTTATCTGAATAATGGGGAGAACACATACATACCATGTGGAATTGAGGTAAGGATTAGAGGAGCTAAAGCTAATTAAGCACTTAGGGCAGGGCCTGGCCCATAATGGGTGCCCAGCAAATGTGGCAATTATTGTATCATTAAGCCTAATAATAAGAACAAGCGTAAAGCACACGTGCTTGATGTACATGGACATGCAGTAAAGGTCATTGCTGTTGTTACTGCAGATCAGGGCCAACTCCCTGGCTGTGCACATGAGAAAATAAGGCCACAGAAGCCGAGTGACTTGACCCAGGACACACAGAAAAGAGAGGGCAGAGGGAGGCCCAGTGCTCTTGTTGGTGAAACCACATAATCTTCACAGCAAACTTCCTTCCCTTTGCCGCCTGCAGCAAGGGACCTGGTAGGCTGGCTGGCAGAAAACATCAGGGCCACCTGGGTTGCCCTCACCTTTCCCAGTCTCAGACCCTGAGCAGAGGCAGGTGAATGGAAGAGATGCACCTGAGGGCAGCAAGGGGCCCAGCAAAGTGAAGATGGTGAGCACTTTGGTTTAATTCTAGTTTTGAAAAAGGCTTAGCAGCTTGGGCTCCAGAATGAAACAAATGTGTTCAAATCAGGACTCTGGCACTCTCTAACAGTGTGGTCTTGATCTAGTTACTTAACATCTCTGAGCTTTACAACAGCCGACATTTCTTAAGTGTTTACCATGTGCCTACGCTATTTTAATCACTTTACACAGACTATCTTGTTCCGTTCTCACAACCACACTTCGACGTGGGCGCTGTTATTGTCACCATTTTACAGATATGAAAACCAAGGCACAGAGGAGTTAGTAACTTGCCCCAGTGGGTAGAGCCAAGTGTTTGTTTGTGTGTGGATTTTTTTTTTTTTTTAGATGGCGTTTCAATCTTGTCACCCAGTCTGGAGTGCAGTGGCACTATCTCGGCTCACTGCAACCTCCACCTCCTGGGTTCAAGTGATTCTCCTGCCTCAGCCTCCCAAGTAGCTGGGATTACAACTGCCCGCCACCATACCCAGCTAATTTTTGTATTTTTAGTAGAGAAGGGGTTTCATCACATTGGCCAGGCTGGTCTCGAACTCCTGCCCTCATGTGATCTGCCCGCCTCTGCTTCTCAAAGTGCTAGGATTACGGGCGCGAGCCAGCACACCCGGCCTAGAGCCAAGATTTAAACCTAGATAGTCTGCTGGAGCCTGTGCCTTGAACTACCACAACCTCTGCCCTCCCTCTTCTTGTTCTCATCTGTTAAATTAGGAAAATGCTCATCCCTCCTTCATTAGGCTGCCAGAATCAAATGGTATATGTAATGCACATAATTGCTCCAACTTGTAAAGGCTATTTCATCAATAATCACCAACTGTTTTTGCACATGAATAAACGACTGGAAAGAGATCTTGAAGCTTTTTTTTTTTTTTTTTTTTTTTTGAGACAGAGTTTCACTCTTGTTACCCAGGCTGGAGTGCAACCACGTGATCCTGGCTCACCGCAACCTCCACCTCCTGGGTTCAAGCAATTCTCCTGCCTCAGCCTCCCGAGTAGCTGGCACTACAGGTGTGCACTACAATGCCCAGCTAATTTTTGTATTTTTAATAGAGATGGGGTTTCACCATGTTGACCAGGATGGTCTCAATCTCTTGACCTCGTGATCCACCGGCCTCGGCCTCCCGAAGTGCTGGGATTATAGGCGTGAGCCACCGAGCCCAGCCGATCTTGAAGCATTTTTACCCCCATGAATATTGTCTCTAAGTTTGAGAGATGTTTTACTTTTTTAGTTTTAGTGTTTAAATTTTCTCCAACCAGCATGTAGACAATTTTTTTTTTTTTTTTTTTTGGGAGACAGAGTCTCTCTGTCACCCAGGCTGGAGTGCAGTGGTGTGATCTTGGCTCACTGCAATCTCCGCCTCAGGGGTCCAAGCAATTCTCCTGCCTCAGCCTCCCAAATAGCTAGGATTACAGGAACCCACCACCATACCTGGCTAATTTTTGTATTTTTAGTAGAGAAGGGGTTTCACCATGTTGGCCAGGCTGATCTTGAACTCCTGACCTCAGGTGATCTGCCCGCTTTGGCTTCCCAAAGTGCTGGGATTATAGGTGTGAGCCACTGTCCCCAGCATAGACAATTTTTTTTAAAAAAAGTTGGAAGCGGAACCACGGGCTTTGAGTTCACATAGCTCTGTTTGATCCCAGCTCTATCATTTCCTATTAGATTAAACCTCACTAAATTACCACCAGCTGACTGTTTTGGACATAGAAAAATATCAATTTATGTGTTTCAACTTCATAGTCCTCTGTTCTTGTAAGTAGCTTACTTTCCTTATCAGCTAAACAAGACCCACCTCACAGGGTGCTGGGAACTCTGAAGGAAGTAAGTTTTGTTCAAGTGCTTAGTACAGTGCCTGGCAGATGGAGAACACTCAATAAACAGTGGCTATTCATAAACATCACCATGACAATCCCAGCAGTAGGAACTCATCTGCCACTGGTCTTCAGCCCTGGCTTTGATAACAATGAGAAGCTCTCATTACCGGAACTTTCCAAAGTCTCAGAAAAACCCTTTGATTTATAAAGTACACTTAAATTCACTTCCACTGAAAAATACATACACTTGGGGCTTGGCAGAGAGGACATGGGTGGACACTGATATTTCCAAATCAACCTGATACCACCAGGATATTGGAGGCCCCCAAGGACTTCCATGGGACCTGGGGATTTGGGGTGTAGGTGAGAAGTGGGCATTAGGGAGGAGTCAACTCTTTGCACCTCTTCTGACAGTGGGGAGGGAGATGCAGGGAATGTTTCTGTCTCCCGCTTGAGTCCTTAGTAATGGGGGTGTGTGGCCAGGGGACATTTTATACAGGGGTTCCTCTTGGGGACCACTCAAATTCCTTCAGGAGCCAAGCAGGAAATATGAGTATGAAGGTGCTGTGCACATTTGGGAGCAGTGAGGCTTGTGTTCAGTTGGAGACTGCACGCCCCACTTGAGATATGCAAATTCAACCTTTCATTAAATATGATTGTTAAAATGCATCTGCTGTTTTGCAGCAATGCTATAATGCACAGGGTCCAGGCTCACTGAAGATTCCATGGGTAGGGCAACTCTTCCATTTTCCTCTTATTTTACAGAAGGGGACCAGAGACAGCCTATGAGAGGCACCCATGACTGGGCCCAGAGGGGAATTGTACATTCTAAGGAAGGCCTTCAGGAAAAGTTTACAAAAGCCCTAAGACTTGGAGAAAGAAGTCTAACCTGGTAGTTCAGCAGCGAACTACCAGACCATGAAGCATGCCAGCTGCAGAGCCCAGCCCTGAATGTCTGGAACTATGTCCTTGCACAAGCTAGGATGACTCTAGCTCTTTTCCCCCTCACCTCATAAGCGATCTTAGGCAAGTCTCTGACCCTCTTTAGGCTTCAGTTTCCCTGTCTGTAACACATAGGAGTTGAACTTGATACTCTCGAAGTCCTTACAGCTCTGGAATATCCTAAAGAAGTTTGTGGCAGATGGGGAGAGGAGAGTTGTCAGGATAAGGGCAGAAGTGGGGCCTAAATATGAGGAAGTCAGACCGGGTGTGGTGGCTCACACCTGTAATCCCAGCACTTTGGGAGGCCAATGAAGGAGGATTGCTTTAGCCGAGGAGTTCAAGACCAGCCTGGACAACATAGCAAGACCTTGTCTCTCTAAAAAACACAAAATTAGTTAGGCATGTTGGTGAGTGCCTGTAGTCCCAGCTACTCAGGAGGCTGAGGAAGGAGGCTCGCTTGTGCCTAGGAGGTTAAGGCTGTAGCGAGTCACGATTGCATCACTACACTCCAGCAGCATGGGCGGCAGAGGGAAACTCTGTTTCCAAAAAAAAAAAAAAAAAAAAAAAAAAAAAGGCCAGGTGCTATGGCTCATGTCTGCAATCCCAGCACTTTGGGAGGCTGAGGTGGGCAGATCACCTAAAGTCTGAAGTTTGAGGCCAGCCCGGCCAACATGTTGAAACCCCATCTCTACTAAAAATACAAAAATTAGCCGGCCGTGGTGGCACATGCCTATAATCCCAGCTACTCAGGAAGTAGAGGCAGGTGAATCGCTTGAACCCAGGAGGCGAAGGTTGCAGTGAGCCAAGATCGCACTACTGTATTCCAGCTTGGGTGACAGAGTGAGACTTTGTCTCAAAAAAAAAAAAAAAGAGGAGGTCAGAGGATCCTGAGTAGGGGCTTTATCAGACACAGCTGCCGCCCCTGATTCCCTGATTCCAGGTATAGGTGCTCAGGGCCTTCCTTCCTGCAGCCCCACACTGTCCCTGAGAGAGGAATTGTGCCTCAGCCAACAAGATGAAATTAGGGCAGCAGTTTCCATGAGCTGTTTGACAGAGCTCACGCACCCCAAACTGATCAGGAAATAACATCTGATTTCAGGCTTCTCCTCCCCTTGGCCTGTCATCCTTCCGCCTCTCCTGGGCTCCAGGCCCATTTCCACTCCTCTTCTACCTCATTATCTGGGCTCCTGCTTCAGGGCTGGGTCCCAGCTGGGAGCATCCTCATTGGTGTCAGCCTCCACCCCTCACAGTCTGCGCTGCACTCTCATCAGCTGCTGGCTTGATAAGCTAATGGGCTCTAAGGTGCTCAGGGGTGATAAGAAGTGGATGTGCTACCTGGGCGCCCATGGCCAGGCCCAGAGGGTAACTGTACATTCG